GCATCACTTTCCATATTTCTTTTGCCCTGTTCAACGGAGCCAATACACATGTTTTACTCACCTTTATCTCTTTGTCGCTCAAGTTCTGTGAGTAGTTCTTTTAGTTTTTCTTCAAGTTCAGCAGTTAAGAGTGCAGGGTAGAAAAAAGTATCTGAAAGGAAAGGTAAACAGAAGGATACACTGTATTTAGCATTCAGTGCCTTACTTCACATAAATGATTAAAAACAGGCATTTAACTAGCACTGTACATTGTGTTGGGGTCATGTGATAGCACAGTTATAGTGTCAGTTTTCTGATTAATCTCCTATGGTCATAGTTGAAATCAACCATTTAGAAAAATTGTCTCATCATAATAAGCCACAGCCAACTTAATACTCCCTTTCACCACAGCACAGAATTAGCAAAAACTAAATTAAGAAAAATTTCATATAAAAGCTAACACTTTACGTAATAGCCAAAAGTATAAAGGAAGAGGGATCATCTTTACCTGGGAATAGTTTCCCTTGAAAATAAATGAATTGAATAAAGAGTGGAAGTATTCATCAATAATAATAAAATCAGACTACAGGTTCTATTAAATAAGGAATAATTTCCCTTGAAAAATGATATTTTGATACAGGGGTGAAAGCCTTTAATAGCAAGCTTGGATTTATTTCTCTCTGATAATGAATCAATAAACATTTTATATTCACCTTCCATTCTGAGCCTCTGAAGCTGATCGCTTAGTTCAGCTGGTAATACCTCAAGATAATATGTCGAAAATTTAAGGATAGGAAAACTTCCTGAGAGCAAAGGTACACAGAAATATATTTAGCACTTAGTGCCTCACCTGATATAAAAATTTAAAGCATAATAACATGTGTAGAGGTCAAGGGAGAGCACAATGAAATAGCTATCTTTAAGTAATTCTTCAATATCACATGCCACAGTTAATCTAATGCTACCTTTTACTGAAATTATGGATTTAGAGGCAAACCTGAATTGAAAATATGTTCCTAACCAAAACTAAGTTGCTGAATAATAGCTGAGAACATTTAACAGTATTTATGGATGAAAGTAAAGACAGAAGAAGGTTAATATCTCATGTAATAGTATAGTTTGATTGTCCAGGTGAGTGCAGTCCTGAGAAGGACTGTTTTTGGTAATGGTGAACTGACGTTTCGACAACCTGAGCGGAAGTCATCATCAGAGTCAAGTGAAAGGTTGTTGTCAGTCGAATGTACTTAGTCCGGTTTGTGTAAACTGATTGGTCAGTTTTGCCATGATGTTATTGGCTGTACAACTCAAGTGGCGTAGGTCAGTCGTGATTGGTTGGTTTGGATCTGTTAGTGAAGGTGGACATTACGCAAAGTAGAGCACATCTGATTAAGTGATCGGACGAAAGAGTTTACTTATGTTTGTTTGTTTCCACCCAGTCGTTGAAAGTAGTTGGTGCTGTAGTTTAGGCATTGCACAGAGTCCCAGTCAATAGTGTGGTTGGTAAGTCGATGATGTTCAGCAATGTGATTGTTGACATCGCCTTTCCTCAAAAAAAAACTGGACTAAGTACATTCGACTGACAACAACCTTTCACTTGACTCTGATGATGACTTCTGCTCAGGTTGTCAAAACGTCAGTCACCATTACTGACAACAGTCCTTCTCAGGACTACACTCACCTGGACAATCAAACTACACTATTACATGTTACCCCTGGGTTCAAACCATTTACTGTGTTAATATCTCAGATAAGGAATCATTTCTCTTAAAAGTATTTACTGGAAAAAAATATCAAAACATTTAATGCCATTGAGCTATTTACATGGCTAAAAATATTTAATCATTGCGGTGATGATTACCTAGTGTTGAAAATGTTTGAATTTACTTTTTCAAAAGTAAAAGTAGATTGCTTGTATTTGAACAAAGATGCTTTACAACCGAAAAAAGAAAACTGTTGAAAAAGTATTCAGTCTACATGTGTATTATGTTTTATTCATTTCGATTTCAAAAGATGACTAAAAACCGCATTCAGGTTCTTGTATTCATTTCTCCTTTTTTTTCCTGAAGTTTCTTAGCTTCACTCCTACAACTTTTTTTGGACAATTTACGCATCTATGAATTGTTCCACTTCTTCAATATCATTTGCATCAAAACAACAAGTCAGTGATTTGCTATGTTGTTTTCCTATTTTGGGACCATGATGGGGGAACTGGACCCAAAATGGAACCCATGCTAGACTTCAATGAGTCAGCAAAAAACAACTGAAAGTAGTAAACTCCACATCTCTTTATTCATTTCAAGGTGGTTTGATATCAGTTTAAAGAGTATATCAACTAAATCAACCTAAAAGTGGGTTTTTTCCCCCAATAACAAAGGGAAAAACTCAACCAACATAAAGAACCCTAAACAGTCAAAAACTTTCAATAAAATACAACTTTGCACTTGGATTAATAGCTGAGCACCATGTTTCAATTACATTAACTTTAAAAATAAGTTCACCTTTCCTTCCCCAAGGTTCTTCTAGTTCTTTTCCATGACCAGTGGTGGATACTACAGTGAGAGGTGAAGTACCTGAGGGTAAAAATGCAGCCTCTCTTCAAATGTTTTATTCTCATTAGTGGAACTGTGTACAATTAGATTAATTTATTTATGCCACATCATTGCATTGAGCTAATTCTTTGAACATGTGTCACATAATTTTTATCACTGTTCACAACAGCTTTCCATATTAACTTAATTAAATTAACACAAGTTTTTTTAATTTCCTTTTCACCTTCCAATTTCGCTGTCTCCATAATCTTTGTCTTCTGTTCACTTTTTTCTCCTTTCCCTTGCCAAGGTTCTTCTAGTTCTTTTCCATGACCAGTGGTAGATACTACAGTGAGAGGTGAAGTACCTACGGGTAAAAATGCGGA